GAATAACAAAATAATACAATGACTCACCAAGAGTCTGCATTTAGTTAAAAAAATAAAATGAAGATAAACATGAAGAACTGCTATTCTTTTTGAAGACTGCAATGTTACCCCAAAGACCATTTTTCCTTTTAAAATACCAAATAGTAAAATTATGCATATATGTGTTTTTGTGCTTAAATATCATCAGTTAATGAAAAACAATAAGTCCTGAAATCCTGTCACTCTCCTTCCTTTCATCTCAAGATACCCAGGAAAGCATATGAGCGCTTACAGGCTTTGTTTCTTCAGGAATGAAATCATTAGATACATAGTTTCTTTCCTAAACAGCTAAGGCAGCTGAAAGATGACACGCAGGAAGAAGAATGACAGAATGGCAGCACCAACGACCTGGACACATTCCGCCACTAGTGAGTTGGGAAAATTTCCAAAAGTGAGAAATCTACCACCTCTTCAGAGCTCTCCTGTGCTCCATTCTGAAATGAGCTTAGGTGAATGTCTGAACGAGACAGGAAAACTGACATGGTAGAGAAGCACTGTTCTGACCCCACGATCCCTGGGCTAATCCACTTCTCATTCCTCTAATGGCTCCCCTCTCCCAGCTGTAACCTCTGCTGGCTCAGTCCTGAACATGGTCTCCATCCCAGCAGCAAACAAGAGTTTTCTGTTCCCAGGTCTCCCATCATGGCTTTCTGTCTGTTCCCGGAGAGTTCACCTGGCTCCCCTGCCATCCCCATCTCCAGCACCATTGACCACAGACACTCTGTTTAACTGATAAAGTTTCCATAATTCATGCTCCCACATTTGCTTATTTCTCAGCCTCTTTGCTAGTTAACAGGTATAAAATGCCTATAACATGTCAGGTACTGCGTTCGAATTTCTATATGCATTATTTACTCATCTCAGTAGCCTGAAAATTAGTTATATTCCTATGTCCATTCATTCAACAAACTAACCTGACATCTACTTATTAAGATAGTTTTTACTGAGTAGTTATTATGAGCCACACAATAAGCACTAGATAGAGATGAAAAAGATGTGAGTCCCAACAGTAGGCACACAGGAAGCTGAGGCCCTGAAGGTCAAGTAACTTATTTAAGGTCACATGGTTTTGTAATAAGAGTCCGAATCTGAAACCCAAGTGTCTGTTTCCAAGTCCACACTCTTT